TCAATATTTTCCATGTAACCTGGACTCTTTTTTGATGCTCCATATCAGTGGATATGATAAGAAGAAAAAGGAAAGATAAAAGAAATGTGTTATTGCTATAAACACACATACTTTGCAGAGCAATAAGAAGTGAACAGTTATTTAAGAGAATATGGTTAATGAGTAACTTATAATAAAATGATTCATTCTATATGATTAAATTTTGTTTTTCTGCTATCGTTAGTTCATTATCATTTTTTTTTGTTTATGTTATGTCTTTGAATTCACTGTTCCTCATATTGTTGTCAGACTCGATGAGAGGAAACGCAGGAAAGATTTCATTCTCGAAAGGAATTTGCTCTATCCTAGTCCATTTGAGGAGCAATTATCTCAAGAAGAAAAGGATTTATGTCGACAATATGATGTCTACATGTGTTTTCATTCTAAGGAGGAGCATGAAGAATTACTTAATACTGTTGTATCAGAACATAGGATTCTAAAGAGAATTCATGAACTTAAGGTAGCAATAACCTTTAATTTTGATTCTCCGAATGAAAATAAATCTTAGGAACTGCAATGTTTTTTTTACTTGTTTTTATCCTCGACAACGAAACAGAGGTTAAGTGGGGATTGTTTCTCTTGGTTTAGTGTAGGATAGAGGTGTTAATCCGGATGGTCTGGGCCGGATCGGCCAGCCAACATATGAGCCCAGTAACGACCCGCGTGAAAAAAAGCCCACCCGCTACAGGTTCCGGACCGGTTGACCCATTCGGGTCGAGCCCATGCGGGTCACGGGTTAAGCGGGTCGTGGTTTGTTCTGATTTGGCTTATATTATTGTATAAATAAAATTATAAAAATATAAAAATTTTCATATTTATAGCAAAAAAAAATTATTTTTTTTTGTTAAGTGTAAACTAAGAATTGAACAAACTGATAAATTCATATTTATACCAAGAAATATTTACCAAGAAATATTTGTTCTGATTTTGATTCTCTTGTTCTTAGTGAGCAGAAATCTGGGTTACTTTGTATAATCTATAAAAAAGAGAGAAATCGAGAGTTAGGGGTTGAGGGTTTGAGTCGAGTGATTCTTTTGGTTCTCTGATCTGT